TACATTATAAACTCAGCTGAAAGTCTAAAAACTTCATTGATTTATATACTCTCAAATTCTTTTAAAAACTAAAATTTTAAATTAAAAATCGTCATGTCATTATTTATATGTAAACCATATCAATATTATATAATTACTATATTAACGCAATTAACTGTCATATGAATACCTTGATCCAACTGAAAACAACTTTAATACAGAGCAACGCCGATAATTTTGATAGAATACTAAGATGAAAATATCCCCTAATCCTTTAATATTTGTATATTCATTGATTATTACTTATTATACCTGAAAATAATCCTATAAACAAACGTGTTTGTGAAAGACAATGTAGCGTGCATTTAAATGCATAAAGATCGTTTGAGAATGTAAATCCACTCAGAGCAGTACAGAAAAAATAATAATATCAGAATCGGAAAGACTTGATATTTACTCGCTATTTTTAATGCCCAAAACAAATCATGAATACTAAAAAAACCCGCATCTTCTTTATTGGGCAGAGACTATTTTCTAACAAAAACCATAAAATCAGAAGTACAACTCTCCAATCATCGACTGCAACTGCATAGGGAATGACTTTTGTTATTGCTTTCAACCTATCAAGAACCCCATGTAGGCAAAACATCAGTCTCAATCATTTAGTGGCTCTGCCTCTGTGTCCCTTTCCTTCATAGCTGTCCAATTTTCAATCTCTGAAAGAGAAACCATCAACAAGTTTAAAACAGAAAAACCTGAAGATGAAGGATGTTTGGTGTGATATGATGTCGTGTACTTACTCGGCTTGTCTGAATCGCCATCAGCCGCCTTTGCAAGATAGATGCCATGAAGAGGAAGATCGAGCACATACCAAACATAACAGTGATGGGGAATGCATTAACCTACACAGCAAAAACCAATACGGCTAGTTAGTAACTCTCCGAGAGCATGCATGTATCAGTCTATCGCACATGATCAAGTGAAGCTTATTATAGCAAAGCATTTTTGTGTTTTCTGGTCAGAAAAAGTGTATAACATACATTGTACAACACGACGCACACAAAAATGTTGAGAGGAATGCGGAAAAAGTTCATAATGGTGCTCCTAGCCTCCTCCGGTATGTACTGGGATCTCATTTTCATAATGGATGGCCAGAATATTCCAACACATGCCTCAAAAGTACAAAGCCAAGAAGCTGTAGACAACCTGCAAATGAGATGCTTCCGCCTTTCACTTCAGGGGGTGCCACCAAAAACTGTTCCAGATTCATCCAGTTAGGAATAATTCAATAGAATGATCCAGTGGGGGGGAAAAGGAGAGGATGTCCGAACATACATTAGTTATAATCGGAAGCAAGAGAGAGGCAGAGGAAACCACAAAAACAATCTGCATGTAGCTTTCTACCCTGGGTGACGAGCGAGCCATCAATCGAGATGCAAGGGAGCTTCCCGACATTGAAGCCAACATGAATGTGGCAAAAATAAAACCATGAGGGATATCCTCATCATTGGGGCTCAAAGCAGGAGTCCAAAGGAACACAAAGGTGTACATTGAACCTTCAAACAGAGACTGGATGGCACCCAGCAAAGCAATTTTTTCATCTGAAGTGCAGAAAAGATTAGACAAAGAAGGGGAACAAAAGAAAAACAACGGAAATAATTAATGCATGATGAAGGATGACTGACAACAAGGTATCAAGAGACAGTACTTGGCCTAACATGTCAATCAGATGAATGCATGAGTCTAAAATAAGTGTTGAACTCTACCAGAAGCTATTGCTACAGCAGCACCCTTAAATTGGGTAAGCAGGTCCTTATTTTCCGAGGGATCTCCAAAATTTTCAGTCCATGATGATAAAATAATGGCCATTCCAATAGCAAGAAAACACGCAGCAGCATCAAAAGGAGCCACGGGTCCAAGGGATAATGAATCAACAAGTAGGTTCCCAAACAACCCAGACAAAATGGCAACAAGACCATTTCCAAGAAATATTGCCTTAGAAAATGTTAGTGACAACCATTGTTGCTCAAAGCCTCTCTGCGAAGATTAGAAGTGGAAATAGTATTGTCATAACATGATTAAAGTTAAAAGGGATATTGACATCAATGATGCAAACACAGCTCATTGGCAAATGTAGCTAATCAGAAACAGATGATTCAGTCCTTGACATTTTTGAAAACAATGAAGGAAAATTGAAGAAACGAAGTCAGAATATTCCTAGGTACCATGTGCAGTATGAGATGTAAACTAGATATCACAAACATTGTTATTTTCCCCCAAAATACGGCACGGAGGAAAACAACCTGACAGAGACCAACACATAGCATCCAGAATACTAAAGAGTAAAGGGCACATAAGCAAACACATATACAATGTTAACTTGTAAGCTTCACTGATATGCATTAAGAGTAAAGGCCACGAATGCAATTGCTCACCTTATTATGTTCAGCAACAAGCCATGACTCAAATGCTGAAAACAGAAGAGAGGTGGCAATACCTCCCAAAACACGACCTATCATTAAAATTTTGTATTGAGGAGAATGCTTGGTGATGCAGCTAAGCATGTAAGTTATGCAGTAAGTAATACATGCCCTCCTTCTGCCCCTGAATAAAACGCAAGGTATTTTAACATTTAAGACATGCCCCCCTTGGGCACCTTAATAAAACGCAAGTATGAAAAGATAGCAACAGAAGCCAGATAAAAAGCTTACTGCTTGTCAGCTAGAGATCCAACAATTGTACCAAACAACATGGATGACCCAAAACCAGCAATAAAGAGCTGTCCAATCTCCCCTTTTCCAAAGCCATATGTACTGTAAAGATAGTAGACATATGGACCCTGCAGCCAGTCTCCAGCTATTGGTACATAAACAGCCAGTCATGAGTCCAATAACCATAATATAAGAAGGCTATCTTTCACAATTACCAGATCATACTTCCAAAACTAATTAGATTAAGAAGGTAACTATATGGGAAGTAGGATATTTTCTTTCAAAAGAGTCATTCAAACAGAAGTCATTAAGTTGTATTATGTTTATGATGCACGTTTGAATAAGATTGTTACGAATACGTCATCACGAAACTTGTATCAAAAGCTAGAATAACCAGAAACTTTGATATAATTCAAATTCATGATTAACGGCATCTCAAACTAACGCAGAGTATCATCCCTAAAACTATTGTTGTGAAACTTGTTAAAGAAGTTAATGCAATGGTACAGAATTCAATGGAATCAGGAGTTTAAGACTTCCGCTCTAAGCTCTAAGAACAATTGATAGTCTGATCCTCAAATTTTCGGTTGTTTCTTATCGGGACCATCATCAACCAAAAGCAACAGCGACATATCCCCCCCAACCCACACACACCAAACAAAAAAAAGTCAATTTCTAAACCACAAAACAGGAAAGGACCGAAAATCCACATTACACTTATTGGAGTCATTTTCTTTACTCTTTCCTTTTCTTATAGAAGATTAAAAAAAACTCATGTATCCGTTTTCCATTTCCTTTTTCTTGATGGACCCGTTTTCAATTTCCAAAGCACAGAGAAATGGTAAGGACATTTAAAAGTAACGAATAATATAGAAAATAACATCATCCACTAAAATTAAAACCAAATCACAAAGAACAAATATTCAGATCACACTCGAAAAACGAAAATCTTAGGAATAGGTTCTGGAATCACACACACCCAACGCACAAAAACCAGCATTAGATCAGAGAAATGTTAAGGGTCTAATAAAAGTGAGATCTAAAACATATAAATCGAAATACATATCTCTGTAAATAGAAAAAAAATAATGAATGGGAGTTATTTACCCATCATGAGAGAGTAAACAACAAGGTAATTGTTCTTGAAGGAATTGAAGCCAGGGGAAGTGTTAATTCGATCTTTATTGTTCTTGCTCAGCTCTAAAGCTACCACCACCGCTCCCAATGCACCGAACACCACGAAATAGAAGAGCTCCATTGTTTCAGCCCACTAACACACCACCGCCACCACCCAGATTCTCCCTCTTACTCTTAGAAGAGGACGCAGAGATTTTATATGAAGTTGTGAAGCCAAAAGCCAATGTGTCCACTGCGCACTTGAGGTAGAGAGAGATTTATTAAGGTTCGAAGGAAATATTGAAGAGTTGCAAGCAATGGGGTAATATAGCGCAGAGGGCAGAGGTGTAGGATAAATGATGGGGACGACTGACGGTGGATGAAATTGGCTCAACTTAATTGGAATTTTATATTGTAAATTTGACACGTGGAGAGACCTGGTTGTCCGATCTGAAGAGGAGCTGTCGGTGGTTCAGATGGCGCAAGCAGTATCAGTAAATACATTATTAAATCGGATTAATCAATTAAATATATCAGATTTAATTTAATCTTTTTATTTATTTGATTTTAACGAATAAATTATACTGTTTTACATTATAAAAATATCGTAATGTAACAATTTACGTAATTGCCTTTAATTATTATAAATATTATAATAATCTACAAAATTTGATAATGTCTTATGTGATTGACGTTAATTTAGTATCATTTTACTGTGTTCGTTCAAGAACTAAAAAAATTTCAATTTGATTAATTTATTTTAATCATACAAATAACTCACTTGAATCCATCCAACTTAAATCAAAATGGATTCAAAATCGAATTAGCTCGCTCTATAAATAAATCAAATCCGAAATGATCTAATCTAATACTAATATAAAATAATTATAACCTAAAATATTTAAATTCATATATATCAATTCTAAAAAAATTAAATATTAAAATATATTAAGCAATCTTAATTGTTAAATGAAGTGATATTCTCTCTTAAGATTATGAGTTCAAATAATTATATCTACAAAATTATCAATGATTGAGAATTTTTTTGAAATTATATTAAAAAAATAACAAATATCGACAATGAATTAATTGAACTCAAAAATCTAAACATAAAATTGATTAAAAAATTATAAAATTCAAATTACCTCGATCTACAACCATCCCAACCTTCCAATTGTCCAACTCATGAATATATATTATGTATTTTGTTTGTTTAAGATTTTGTGGTAATAATTTATCAACATATTTTGGGTCGTATAATTTTGGGCTTGGTACGGGAAGTTTTACTTGAAAAGAGAAAAAAATCACGCCATTGTTAAGTAGTTCACATGGAACATGAACCGACTGTAAACCATAATGTCCATCGGCGGTGGCAGCCTAGTGAAGACCGTACTAAAATATAGTTACACCCTCGGCGACGGCACGACTGCAGTCGAGCAAAGTATACCAAGCCATTGTAGCTCTTCCAAGTAAACAAACCCTGTCGTCCAGTACCTAACTTTTAAGCCTAAGCTTCAAGGCCATACAAAGGTACCGGAAGTTAATCATCGTTCTTCTTTACGGGATGTAATGTCAAAGTTTACATGTATGTAGATTGCTTCCTCAGGAATCCTGCAACCTGTACATCGTAATTTCCTGCTGTTTGAAATACCGACGATCCTCTTCATCGACAAGCACAAGATTCAAGTAATACTTCACGCTGAATTTGTTGTTTATGTTGCGATGTGTTGGTGTCACCTCATATGGACTGAGAAACAGCCTGATCGGAATCGATTCACCTTCAATACCACGTGACTGTCAGCACTTTGCTTTACAAGAATGGTGTGTATAAATATTTATCGGAACTAAAAAGTTACAACCCAAATTAACATCCGTCGCAGAATACTGTAGCTCGGTCTATATTTTTCAAGTAATGAACATACCTCTGACTGGAGCACCATCCATCAACTCACATTTAGCTAGTGTCTCTGTTTCAACATGGGTATTTGCTCCTGATCCTGTTGACTCTCTACGCCTTATCTCAAGATCCATATTCTTAATCTTGATTCTCACAAGAAGAAAATATATCTTGCCAATAAAAACATCTTTAAGATGATATCTGCAATTTCGATTCCATAAGCCAACCTTATTATATCAGATTTGAGAAAGATCCATAGATGTTCAACTTACTTGCTTTTGTTGCACTCAAACTCGATGTGCAGGCAGTCTTCAATTCCAACTTCCATCTGTAGATGAAATTTGTTTTTTTCTTTGTTAGAATTAAATATTATGAATGAAATCAGTGGTGTACAGTTCATTAGTAAATGGTGAAATGATCGATGTAATGTTCATAAGAATCAATTTAGACACCAATCCAATCTACAATGCAATCACCATAGAAGAACTAAAATAATTGAACTGACCTTGATGCTATTGTTGATTGATGGAGGTGGAGAATAATTACGAACCTGATACACATATAACCAAGCAAAAGATAAGCTGCTAAGACCACATACTCAACAAATCGTACACGACCATATAGATTGATGCTGACTTTCCTGTGTATGAGTTTTATATCAGGTATAAGAGTTGGAAGCACTACAATCTTCACATAAGATGGACATTTAAGTTCTGCCTTTAGTGGTACACAAAAAACTTTGTATGTGCTTATTTGCATAATGATGTTAGTGTGTATGAGAGAGAGGTGCCATGGTATGCTAAGCAAAAGAGAAAAAGATACAAGAAAGAAAAAATTAAAGAGAAAAGATCGAAGTAATTAGGTGCTTCATACCATAAAGTCCTGGTATTCCACTATGCTTCCACCATAATTACGGCTAACTGTTACTTTCAGGACATACCTGATGAAAGCAAATAGTCAAACTATTATAGGATGAATAATTTATAATATTTATAAATAAGTACACAAAACTATTATCAAGATAAGAAACTGATTTATAATCCTTGAAAATACATAGAAAACGAACTTTTATAATCAAGGAACCACTTCATTCATATTGACCAGAAGAAAAATGAACAAAACTTTCTCTTCAAAGAGTTTAAGCAGTGAGTAGCATACATACCTGAGCCGCACATTCACACCACTATAAGTTTCATACGGCATTTCAACAGTAAAAAATTCATATGGGTAAGTTTTCCTTTCATATATATCCCCAGGGACATCCAACTCACGCACTGCAAATATTGGGAATATACAAAAGGTAAACAATAGAGAGAAGGTAGAAAATAAAAATCAATAAAAAAAACCCAATCAACAGCATACAAGAACTTATACTATGCGAATCTTTTTTCATGAGCATTTTGAGCCTCTAAGTGTGAAAAATATTATATGAATATCATAAACTGCAAAGCACAAATTCAACTCTTAAGCTCTTATATTCAACCCCATCCATGCCACATGCAACTAGTGGAAATAATTCCTGAAGTTGCTTAAAGAACATATAAGCGGTTTCCAGGCAAAACAAACAAGTTAAGCACAGAGTACAGTACTCACCAAGAGAGGTAAAGTCATAAAAGTTGCCTCTGTCAAAATAAATCTCTGAAAAGAAAAATTAAAGTTCATGTAAATTCATTTCACCAGGAAAAAAACACTTAAATGTTCAACCGTATTCTTTCTACCACATCAGAATGATATTTAAAACTTGGAAAGACACTGTGAACAAGAGGCAAAGACCAACCTATTTAAAGATATAAACACAACTAAAATACTATGAGCCTCAATATGTTTGAAATAAATACCTATTCCTTGCCAGCAATATTTTCTTGACTTTGGAAAAGCGGTACCATAACCGTTTGGCCATTTTCCTTTTTCATAGGGACCTAATAACAAAACAATAACCCAGATTCCAGTACTATGACCCGTGAAAATTTGGATAAACAAATCACAACAGTTAAAACATAACATAAAATTTGAATGTTCAATTCAAACGAGACTAAACCTTAGATGATCTAGAAGCATGCCTGCTTGCGAGTTTTTGCATCGGAAAATGTGATCAAGATATTACATGCCGGCTTGAACGTTCCAAGCAGGAAATTCTAATTTAACAAAGTTCAGAAGCCCGAATTGCATTCAATACAAGGCATGGTAAACTAACTGGAAATCCAGCCAAAGTAAAATAATAATAATAATAATAATAAAAGTAGGATCTTACCATGCTGTTACGCTTCAGTTCTTGTAAATCACTGGGAAAATAGACTGCTTGAGATCGGTAATTGCGATAAGAATCGAAAACCCTAGACAGCTGCGATTAATCCGAGGTTGGTGAGGAAGGGGAACTCGACCACTCCTGAGATTTTGACAGTTGGGAAACGGAAGCAAAATTGGAGTCTACTAGTACCAAACTCGTCATCGCCGTCGCGACAAAACTAAATAACATGGGCCTAATAGCCCGTGCCGGCTCCTTGATTCCCAGGCCTAGTAGTACAATATACTTGCTCTATGATCCCTTAGCTTGTCTAAAAGGGATTAAGCGCCTTTATAAAGGCCCAACGAATTAAAACAAGGTTGAATGCATTTATAAGATTAGGGACAGATATAGGTAAGATTAGGTTTTAGCTCAGCCGAATTTGATTGGACCATTATATTTGTTCACTTTGTCAATTGATCCACTTCAAATTTAAAAATTATTCATCTAATTTAAAATTTGATTTGATTTTTGGAATATAACCTGCAATTATCTCGATACATATATATAATTTATTTTTATTAAGGAAAATATAAATTTAATTAAAAAATAATATAGAGAAAGATGTATCATTACAATTATTTTTCATATTATTATCTTATGTATTTTCATCTTAAACTCGATCTGTTTTTGTCCTTAAAAAAATTAATCATATCACTACATATAGTCGAGATCGATTCGAAAACTGTCCCGGCAAAGCGCACATACATTCCTCCACAGCAAGCGGGTTACAATCCTGTTAAGACCCCAGAGTTTGTCATTAAGATCCTACAATTTCTCGTCCCCCTCTTGATTCTGGGCTTGGCTATTGCGGTACGTCACTACACTAAGAAAGAGTAGCTTACTACGTACTACACAGGAGTTAGCTGTTTTGAGGGAGAAGTGATGTGTTTCATATGTTAGTTTAGAAAGGACAGTCATATCTCTTGTTTGATTTTCCTTTAGCATCTGTGTTAAAAGACAGTACTATATTGAGCCCCCCATTTATGTCTGCATGGAGACAAGACCATGTTTAGTATCGTTGGAATTTAAAAGCAGGAGCATTATTCTTTTAACATTGTGTCTTCTCCCCCTTATGTTCCTACTTGTCAAATAACAATGTGAATCAATCACTTCTACCAGCACCTATTATCAAGGGTGCAAGTCTCACTCTAGGTGCTAAAATCACTCACCTACATGAAAGATCACACACACCCTACACAAAGGGATCACATGATCAATAATTATCGCATTAAGGCTAATAACTCAATCGCAGTTGATACGACCGGGAAATACATTTTATTAACATAACATGTTTTGGCAGTCGATAACTATACTGGGAGATAACTCCAATAGCACAACCACTGCTCAGGCCATGGAGCTTAAACTTAAAAGTAACTAGGATAATCTATGACATACAACTTACAGCTTAGAAGCTGCATCCTTGTCCAAAAACCAAACCAACTCCCCTTCTGGTGAAACCATCTGAACAGGCAGTGGATCAGAATTCTGACCATTTCCTGATGCGGCATTGACTGGACCAGCTTTACCAGCACCGCACACCACGAGTGCAATGTTAGCAGATGAGTTGATAACCGGGAAAGTGAAGGTGATTCTCTCTGGGGGTGGTTTTGGTGAGTCTTTAATGAAGGTAACCCACTTTTCTTTCTCCTTGACCAGAGGGTGGCCTGGAAAAAGAGAAGCCACATGACCATCTGGTCCCATCCCCAAAAGCATGAGATCGAACTTCGGAACCCCAGTAGCTGCTGAGACACTAATCACGTTGCTCTTAACCAAGTGCTTGAGACAAGTCTCGTAGTCATCGGCTGCACCTTCAGCAGGCAGTGCGTCATTGATAGCATAGACTTTACCCGGGTGAATTGGCACCTGCAGGAGAAAGAATAACATGTTTAACTTGTTTTGCTTTGGAAAAATTGGAATACTAACATTATCCTAGAACCGGCAGTGGTAGTGCCACAAAGAAAAGCACATTGCAACAGCAACTAAAGCTAACTCAAACATCTCCATACTCATCCCCTGAATGACGACTAAAACCCTTTTTCATACACACCAAATTAGTGAAACGGTTTAGTCATCAATAACCCAAAACAGTGTAAATTCTTTGATCTTACCTTCGAAAGAAACCCAGCAAAAGCTAGCTTATAGTTACTGTCATCATGATCCTTGGGAACAACCCTTTCATCAACCCAGAAAACATGCCATGTTGACCAATCCACCGCATCAACATATGGAGTTTCCACCAGTTTCCTGAAGCCAAGAATAAAAACTCAAGATCTTTAGTGATGGGGACAATCAATTTGAGAAAAATAAATGGAATGGTAAAAGTAAGAAAATAGAGGGCTTAAGACCTGAGAGACTTGATGAGAGAGCCACCAGACAAAACCACAGTAAAACTGCCTTTCTCTTTGGAGAACTTGTCAGCTAGATCGGCGGTGTATTTAGCAAGCGACACCGAGAGATCCTCCTCGGAATCAAAAACCACCACCTTTCCTTTCCCTTTCTCCGCCATGGCTCTCCAACTAGATCTTCCGGAACCCGAAGCGCCTCTAATCACAGTCGAGAAAGCGAGCGTCTTGTGGGTCAGGAGGTGAGATGATCGTGAAACGTGGAGAGGAAAACGAGGAGATTTTGGCAGTGACGGCGATGATCGGAGAGTTCGAAATGGAGCGACGAAATAAAGGTGTGAAGATGCCATCCGTAATGTGCACTTTAAACTTATAAATTGACTGTCGACAAAACCTGACTGGTGAAGTGGGTTTGGTTTGGGGTCGTGGCCAAGGGTTTTTTCTGGGGCAGAACTTTTAGTTTGGTGAAATGGTGACCGGCGGGTGAGGTGGCGGTACTAACGATGTGAAAGGGGTTGAATTATCTACTCAATATTTACATCATAGTTAAATTAAAATAATTATATTTATTATATTATTAAGTTTAAGTGATTATTAAAACTTACAAAAAAAAATCTTTCGACAATTCATATTTTCTCAACTCATATTTTTCGGTTAAAAGATTGATAGACGTCTGAGTTGGACGTTAACCTACTGATTGAGATATGATAAAATTATATTTTAATAATATTTATTGGCACCGTTGTTGCTTTCGAGCATTGGCTCAATGGTATAATCTTTCAAACATTGACTCGACAGTATAATACAAACGAAGAATCGATCCTCAATATATAGCTCAAACGGTTTGAGATCAAATTTTATCATATGTTAGTTAATAAGTTATTGTCCAGCTCGAACGGCCGCCAATTTTAAATGGGAAAAAATGAGTTTGGAGCATATGAATAGTCGAGTAATCATTTTTTAACTTTTAATGGTAGAATGACTCCATAAAACATCCTATAGTTGAGAGATCTTTTTGTAACTTTTGATAGTTGAGAGACTCAATAAAGTAATATCTTATAACCGAGGGACCATTTGTATACTTGACCCTTTAAATATTTGTAATATACTATAAACTATTATCGAAAATCGATTTTAATGATTTCAACGTCAATTATTAAAAGTGTTGAGGTGGTGCTCAATACATTCGGTCAGCCCCTTCGGCTGAAATTGTTGAGGCCCATTTGGTTATTCACGCACTTCACTTTACGTGGTTTTTGCCTTGATGAGGCATGCAAAACGTTTGTTTCTCTCTTTGGAGTGTTAGTCTAGTTTATGTTTCTAAATTCGATTCAAATCGACTCATGGTCATCTCTAATAATATATGTATTACTTAATTTTAGTTTTTATTGTGATACCTATTTTAGTAATACTATTTGAATGTTTATTAAATATTAGATAAATTACGTTAAAGGTCATTAATACTTTACTAAATTTTTGTTTTTATCATTAATATTCAAAAAGTTACGTTGTGGATACCAACATTATTGTTTATCATATTACGATCACCCATGACCCAACTAACTTCCCTTGAAATGGTAACATGACATGTAAATAAAAGGGTTTGACATTAAATTTGGCCTTCGAATTGTCGTTAAAATGTCATTATTTTTCTAATTATAATTCTGAAAAGATAAAGTATACAACATTTTTAGGGGAAACTACACTTTTCATCGTTAAACTTTGATCATATCCTTATTTAAGTCACTAAACTTAAAAATATTTATTTTACTCACTTAACTTTTTAATTGCTATATTTTTATCTTGAACATTAAATTAAAAACAACATGGTGAGGTGGAAATGTGATGATAAGACAAAGGGAACTAATAATAATCAAAAGTCAATTAGATACCCTAATCCTTAGGGGAAAGCTGAGAAAACCAAAATACAATTAAATATTAAAGATAATAATGTGAAGGGGCATCTTTTGTGGTAAAAGCGAAAGATGAGAAAAGCCCTTCGTTACGCCTCATTTCACTCTTCCTTTGTTATAAAGCGAAAGCCGAGTACTTTTCAAAATATGTAAACTAAATACAAATATATATTATATTTATGAAGTTTATTTGAGTTCATCCATCAAATTCATAAGTAGTACTAAAATAATTCAAAATCTAAATGACAGCAAACTAACATAAATCCAGATTCAGCCACAACCTAAAACTCAGATTATCCCAAATAAAAAAAATATATCACTGACCAAAAACATGACTGACAATAACAAAAATAAATAAATGAGAGATTTTAAATTTTTAAGTCATCGTCAAACGACGACTAATATAACAGTTGACAATGACCTCACCCGCATATTTTTAATATTTTTAATTTAACATGCAGACATGTTATTTTAATCTCTTCACATCTTAATCGAAACAAAAAAATTAAAACTTTTGAATTTGTCACACGACTAAATGTATAATCATCTTAAAAATAAACTATGTTAATCTTTTGACCAAACAGAGGCTTTCTATAGCGGAGATTGACTGACGATGGCTCCGCTCATTGAAAGCTCGTTAAGATTGATGGGTAGTTTTTATTTTATCTCTTTTTTCTTTATTTCTTTAATTTGTTTTTGATGATGTTTACTATTTGTTGCTATTGGTGATTGTAGATGGCAATCAAATATGATTCATGATGGCGGCTCAAGTTTTGATTAGTTGAATCATGATTATGGTTGTGTCTTGTGGTTATGATGTTTGAGACTTGGACGAAAAGATGATGATGGAAGGTTTGACGCTCGTGGGAAGATGGTGAAGATCATGAGTATGGTGGGTGATGCATTTACTGTTTAGTGATGATAACAATTAGTATAACTTCATACAGTGATTGCGCTAGTGATTCAAACGATGATTATCAATTTCGAAAAAAGAAATTTGAACGTGCCACATCAACCTTTCTTAACGAAAGTGGACGGTAATGATTGTAATAAAAGCAAAATAAAAGTACAATGACTATATTATAAGTTTTACAATTTTGGTGACTAAAATTTAAACACCTTAAAAGTTCAAGGACTTCAATGGGATTGGAAGTTTTAGAATAAAAAAGAACGGTTTTTAAGCGAACGCCACCTTTCGTGATTGGTTACAACGGAACGATGACGGGTGGGAGAGATGCCAGCAGTGTCGGCCACAAATTATAAGCCTCACTGTTGCCATTGCAGCGAAGCCTTTGCGACTGGTTTCGTCCCCGCTCAGCAACGAGTTGCCGGCCCCCTTGCCATTCGTCCACGCCACATAATTTACTATTACCCAACCCTTAGGTTGGATGATGTTTTGTAATTTTAGCTTCGTTCTTAATCCATAAGAAAAAGAGATATTTTACCCACGAGAAAACACTTTATCACCCACCGTCTCACCGAATTAACTAGAATGCACAATCCCCTTTATCTAATCTATTATAATAGAATGGGGGTAAAATACACCATAGACCACCAAATTATTAGTTTGGTTACAAGTGGGTCACATTTTCTATAAATTACAATTTAGTCAATTTAATCCTAATTTGAAACAATTCAATAAATTTCACATTCCTTGTTGCATTGTCGAATCAAACAAATCTATAAAAATAAAAGCAATAATTGAATAATTGTATTCTACCGTAAAACAACAAGCTACTGTTAAACTATTAATCTCTCTGTCCTATTAATTTTATCTCAAGTTAACTATGCACATAGTTTTAGGAGATAACTTGATCATATGTCGAATTATATAAAATGAGGAAAATGACAAAATTATCTCCAAAAAGTGATAGTAAATTTGACATATTTATTTTAATAAATGTAAATGAATGAGACATATAAGGATAAAAAAGGAAATATGAATGTTGTTATTTGTTGATTTTTCTAATATGATATTTGAAATGGAATAATTCTTAAAGTCTAAAAAGGACAAATTTAATGGGATGGAATGAGTATTATATAAACCAAGAAAGTGACAAGAAGGTAATACTAGAATATCTAAGGGAGAAGAACAAATACTAAATTGATATAATTTTAAATATGAAGAGTTGAATTTATTGAATTGTTTTGAATTAATCAAAATGATAAATTATATAAGTTTTAGAGATTAAAATTATTATTATTATATAAGGACACGTCATTATCCTGGCTAATATTTAACGACTAATAACCTATATATAACAATATTTTATTTGAATGACTAAATTATAACGTTTTAAAAGTGACTAGTTTATAACTGAATCAATAGTTGAATGATTTGAGATATATTTTACCCTGTAATTTAATTAAAAAGTATCTTTAAAGATAATAATATTATACGGGGGAGGGAGGTTGACTTCCAAATTTGAAAGATATTGCCAACAATAGGGTGTTAAGTATAGCAAAAATTATTTGTTGTATTTTACCCTAAAAACTTTCTTAACCAAGCCAATACACACGACCGTTTCAGCCGATCCCTTTCCAAAGGCAATCATCGTCTAGAAATCTCCCATCCATAAGACTTTGTGTATAAACTAAGAAAGCAAACCCCAAGAACCCATCTTTCTCCATTCATATTTTTGTGGGTATAAATACCCAAATCCACTTCTTCTCCGTCCCTTCACTTGTTTCTTCCTTGTTCATATGTGGGTTATATTGTTGATTCTCGAATTATCATGAGCAACGTTCCCAGGTCTTTAACCGACTCTTCTTTGACCCTTTTCAAGCTCGCCATTTCTGGATCTGATCTCTGGCCTTTCTCTCTCGTTATCTTATAACGTTTTGTTGTTTAAAGAGACTTTGATCTCATCTTTTTTTAGCAATAACTGTAGAAAAGGGTTTTCTTTTTCTTTCGTTGATTGTTGAAGATAAGAGAAGAAATATGGGGATCGGAGACAAACACCATGTGAATTTTCACCTTCACATACAGCACCTTCATCATCATGAGAAGGAGGTGAAAGATATTCCGAAAGGGTGTGTGGCGATCATGGTGGGTCAAGGGGAGGAGCAACAGAGGTTCGTGATCCCGGTGATTTATATCAACCACCCGCTCTTCATGGAGCTGCTGAAGGTGGCCGAGGAAGAGTATGGATTCGATCAGAAAGGTCCCATCACCATCCCTTGCCACGTGGAGGAGTTTCGGAATGTTCAAGGCATGATCGATAAAGATCGTCACCATCACCATCACCATATCTGGTGTTTTAGGGTTTGAAGAACAGTATTCGTCTACATTTGTTTCCAAAATAATAAATGACATTTGGGTTGCCTTTGCTGCTTCTTTTTTTTCCATTGTTAATGTGAAAACATTAAAAAAACATGGAATCGGATAAATTTGAGGAGAATACTAAATTTGTGGTGGGAACATTAGAAAATAAGAATATTATTACAAATAGATTATTAATTATTTAATATTAAATAAAATAATAATATTTGTAACATCTAAAGTTAAGGTGATTTTCTCGATATATCACCGTTGAACAGTATATTTCTCGATCATGCACCGTTCAGACTATATTTCCTGATTTAACACCCTTTGCAGAAAGGCGCGACTCTTGCAATACGCTTTACGCTGATTTGACGTCACGTGGGGTAAGGCGCGCCCCCTACAGCTCGCCTTATGCTGACATAGTATATATGTGTGTAAAGCGCGGCCCCGGGGGGCGCCTTAGGCCACCTAGGAGTATAGGGCAGGGTTATATAAGATAGGACGTTGGCGTTATATTAACTAATAACTGATATTAACGATACAATAAGTATTAAATGGTAAATGATAACCAAATTACGATAACTAATATTAAATGGTAATAAACAAAATTAAGCAAAATAAATCAACAAAAAATCTAACAAATTTATCAAAATAAATTAAAATAAATCCAATCATATTAACGAATTAAAGTAAGTATTAAATGATAAATAATAAAAAAATTACAATAAAAAGTAACTAAATACAAATATAATAAAAAAACAAAATCTATCGATGTCTGCGACTCGAATGAGTTTCGCAGGGCGGTGACTGTCGGTCTCGAGGAGGATTTCTTCATATCACTGGTTGTGACTCCTCGCTGTCATCGTCGTCGTCGTCTTGAGCAGCTAAATTTTGTTGATGAGGAGCTGATGACGATGAAGCACCTCCATAGAATAAGGACCCTGGAGGTATATGACTGACTATCTCACCGACCTACGAAAACTGGGAAAACTCATAAAACCCAGACATCGTTGAGTGTGAAAACTGTACAGGAGGTATCTGTGTTGCGGCCATGAGTGATGAGGTTGAACCCGCCAAATATCCAGCATATGAACCCCAAGTCGGATCTGCAAACATAGACCCATAATAGCCTCCAGGAGGGGTCATAAAACTCTGTGAAGGTGGCGGTGGCGGCGGAGGGTCATAAAACCAGGTTAAGGCGGCGGCGGTGACATCTAGTAATGGAAAGGCGGTGACGGCATCATATATGACTGCAGTATGTAAGTCACTGCAGATGGTGGCTACTGTGAAGGTCCTGCTGGTGCAGCTGATGATGAACCGAAAGCACATGCTCTCCGTCCATGAGTAGGGGGACGATGGTGTTGTGTTGGTGAACGTCTCTGTCGACGTCGTGGAAAGGTCCGCCCTCGTGCATCCTTGGGAAGCAGAAACAGTTTCCCGTTTCTGTTGAACCACTCATAATAATCATCACCAACCGTCAAGTCATCAACATAAATGGGCTCTCTACGGGGAAGGCGCCGATGTCGATCCTCCCACAACACGACCCACTCATGATGCCTCGCCAGCCAATCTGTATCGGTCTTGACGCGTCTATCTATGGCATGCAAGTCGTCCATATTGCGATGTGCTTTCGGAATTGGTTGAAAACAACCAAATTGCCGGAGCACGCTATCAGTGGAGTGCCTCTCGATGGTCGCATAACATATCAAAGAGACTATCGCCATCCAAACATCTGATGGGCCCCTCAACTCAGGTGAGATTACCGTCCTCACATCATCATTAGAATATAACACACATTCAAACTAAAACAAATATATATAATTTTTATCAAAATAATAATCTAATTATATAACTATAATCTAAAATCGATTTTTAAACATTTAAATTCATACCTTTGTGTCAGCCTTATGATCGATGAGCACCCTAATTTTTCTAAATCATCAGGTTGCTCCTGATGATTTTTCCTATCAGTAGACCACTTATTCAAGAAAAAAATTATTATACGCTATATAAAATGATTAATATATGAAATCAGTTTTATAATTACCTCAAGAGTATCGGAAATACGAATGGGTTCTTCACAACGGGACATAAAAAGGGCAATCGATACCATGCCCAAGACTGCAGCAGGAGGAGACATCCGCCGATAGCATTTCTCCTGTAGTCAGTGGCTCGACACATCTCTCTGTACAATAAAACTAAAATTGTCGAGCCCCAACTGAGTGATCCGGCCAGACGAAAGTCGATAAGATGTCGCAACCACATACAGTGAACTTGGTTACGCGATTTGTCTGGCATCAACAACCCTCCTATCAGCTGCAGTATGCATGCTCGTGCATACATTTTAACTTCATCATCTGACGCGTCCTCACACAACTCCCGAAAATTGGCATCTAACCAATATAATGGTATCTGACCACCGTTAAAACTTTCCGGGACACGTCCTAGATTATCCCGACACAAAGCAGTCCAAGAACCCTGCGTGATCCCCGATATCACATCTCCATCCACCGAAATCCCTAGGTGCATAGCAACATCCTCAAGTGTAATCGTGCACTCTCCGCACGGAAGATGGAATGTGTGGGTCTCCTGCCTCCACCACTCTACTAAGGCAGAAATAAGGTCTGGTTATATCTTACAGTGACCCTGATATCTACCTATGTAACTGAATCCAGCCTCTACTAAATACGGCAAGACGCGACTAGGTATCACTAACTTAAGATTCCTAATAAATGAATCTAATACACGGTCATTCTCCTAAAATTAAATAATTACAAAAATTAATTCTTAATCTAATAATCATGCATTAAATAAATCAACAAATAATTACTAATAATTTAAATTAAATTAAAACGTTAAAATGTTACCGTATCAGCAAAGTGTCGAGATATATGATTTTCATCCAAGTGAAGTAGATCGTCTTCCATTTTATATCTGCAAAAAATTAATTAAATAAAATATTAAATAAATTAAATACTTAAATAAATTAAATATAAAATATTAAAAATATAATAAAATATACCTTAGACAGAGATTATAAGAGTATTTGAGAGAAGTTCAGAGAAGTTGAGAGAATTTGGTGTGATGAAAATGATTGAGGATTGGGGTATTTATAGGAAGAGATTGGGGTGTGAAACGTCGGGTTAGGTGGGTAATTATACCCAAGGCGCGCCGCAGGGAGCGCACCTTATTGACGCGTGGTAGATTATGGGGTAAGGCGCGGCCCCTGCACCGCGCTATACCCCTGTACACACGTGTATACCATGTCAGCATAAGGCGCGCTGCAAAGGGCGCGCCTTACCCCACGTGACGTCAAATTAGCGTAAAGCACGTTGCAGGCGTCGCGCCTTTCTGCAAAGGGTGTTAGATCGAAAAATATAGTCTGAACGGTGTCTGATCGGAAAATATACTGTTCAACGGTGATATATCAGGAAAATCGCCTAAAGTTAACATATTTATCAATTTAATTCTAATTAAAAATAATTCAATAATTTTAATTTTTCATATTCTTTTATCAATTTAATATCCATCTTATAAATTGCTTAGGATTGTTTGAGTGGATGGAAGATGAGGGGGTTGTTTAGGATTATACATTAATTATGAGTTCCACTTCCACAGTCTTTCTCTAATCTCTTGGACCGTTTGCGGCTTTGCCTATTGGGGCCTTTATATTTTGTATTTGTGGTTGGCTCAGCTTACCCCCAAAAAAAAATTCCAACAAGGGACAAGTGATATTTAGGGCTTGGAGGGCACTTGTCCTGAGATTTTGGGAAATTTTTTAGTCCCTTAAATATTTTTTAAAAACATAATTAAACCTTCAAGTATTTTTGAAAATTTTAATTTAATCCCAAATTAATTTTCTAAAATCCATCGTTGACATGAACATGAGTGTCGATACTCTAATTTTGGAATCGTTACTCATTTAATGAGTATCGAGACCAATTCTTTTAATATATGTATCTAAGTGTACAATCTCAGCTTTTATAATTTTTTTTAAATCAACTTTGTATGCCCAAAAAATAACTTGTAAAGCATCAACATGCAAGGAAATGATTTAGGCAATTCCTGAGGTAAAAAACAATTGAAAGGTCCTTAAAAACACTTCATAAAACCTTGGGATTAGACTTTGGTTACCTTGCCAAAATAGAACAATATTGCTTACTTCAACCATTCAAAACAAGTAGTAATATATCAAAAAAGACATGAAATTGAGTAGATATCATTATCCTTTTTTAAAATAAAAATGTATGATAGGATGTGCAACGTCACCATTTCGAAATTTTTAAGATTTTTTAAATTTATTTTCAATATGAAATTAATTTTCCCACCTTTTAAAAAACATAATACACAAAGTATTATTATCGATATATCGTGCCTCTCTAAAAACACTACCAACACTGTCGCTCCAAACTACACATAAGACTAAAGAACATTATACTTTTGATCTTATTGGCATGTCACCCATATTATGAATTCTAACTCAAGTTACTGAGTGGGGTATAATACAGGAGAACCCCCGCCCAATAAAACTAATATGGGTTTGGGCAGGACGACTGTGGTCCCTTAAAGAAAGGGTATAAGAGTTAAGAGCCATGTCCCAACCACATGGTTCCCCATCCCAAAATGCAATAATGTACATTAATTATATACTCCTATCGGAAATACGATGCAGTTTTGCTATCTTTGACTACAAATAAAATAATAGGTTGCTCTGAATTAAATGGAGTAAAGAGCTAAGACTTTTTTGTTTCCTTGGCGGTGGTAGGAATTTGTTTAATAAAACAAACCAACCCCAAAGGCCTGGCCAATTGAGGAGGTCCATACTTGTGTTGCTAAAGAAACATGTCTCCCATCAAGCATTTTTCTCGAAATAAAAAGTACATTTCAAAATATTAAAAAGTTTAAAATGTAATTTTATGATTTTTGTAAGGATTATATTAAAATTTTATTATTTATGAAAAAGGATAGAGTATAATTTTTATCATTATTATATTTTTTTAATAAACTAAGGTGATTACAAAGTTATATCTA